TCTAGAATTTGTAATGCTAATTACTCTTGCCTCTACTTCTCCTTCACATAGCCTATTCACAATTCAAGGACTTTCTTTTCCCCTTAAAGATAAGAGTTATACAATTTGGAAGTCTTTTAGATAAACCCACTGAAGGGGTACTTCAATTGCCTCACTCTGCATCCCTGTTCAGAATGGAAGAAGCCAGAGTTGTCTACATCCCGATTCCCTATTGGCAATTTGTGTAATCTTTTCAGAGGATGGTGTGGTAAGAATGGGAAGTAGGAATTGGCTAGGTAGTTAGGGTAAAAAGACCCCAAAGAAAAGTAGCCAGTTTCTTGGCTAAAAGTCAAAATGTCCTTGGGCCTCTTAGCAACATACTCTATTCCAAAGGCCAAAACTGTGGAAAGTATTTGGGAGCTTGTATCTAATCCTTAAAAGAGTTTAGGGTTACCTCTTCAGAGGGGGGAATGTTAGAGTAGCCAAAATCCCCATAAAAATAAATAAATAAATCAAAGAAGAAGAAAGAGTACATGAAGTTATCAGAAAAAAAGTGATGCGAGATATGGGAGGAGTTGGAAGGGAGGGAGTAGGCATGGATTTTTATATGATTTTATATGCATGTATGAAATTCTCAATAAATTATTTATTAAAAGAAGAAGAAGAAGAAGAAGAAGAAGAAGAAGAAGAAGAAGAAGAAGAAGAAGAAGAAGAAGAAGAAGAAGAAGAAGAAGAGGCCCCCTGCTCTGCACTGGGACAATGGGAAAGGTGTCCTCAAGGTAAGACTCCATCCAGCTAACCATCCAACTTGTAAAAGGAAATTGTCTAAGTTTTCCTTACAAAACATACAAAAGTTGCTGAAAATGTGACTCAAGGGGGGTGAAGGGCCATCCAAAGCCGGCAGCTAAACTTGTCAGTCTTGTTCACATGGTACTGCAATCTTGAACTCTTACTCAGCTGTACCAGAGAGCCACTGAAGCCAGGTAATATGTGTCAGTGCCGGAGTCACTAAGAGAAGGCTGTAAGAGACCAGGTGGCCACAAGAGGCCATTGCATGAAATTGTGAAAGTAATGTCTGGGTTGTAGCAGAGATTGCAAGAGATTAGAAATGCCAGAACCATGAGACATCTGCCAATGAGAGCTGCATACAGAGTGGAACCAGCCCAAGACAGAGATATCTGCTACAGGATGCAAAGCTGGGGGGCTATCTAAACCTTTTGGAATTAAAGTTCCAGACACCATACATCAACCTACAGTATTTGGTGTTTGCCTTGCTGGATATTGGTTTTGCTTTGGTTTGAGATTTCCTCACTGTGCATAGCCCGCCCCCCCCGCCCCCGTTCTTCCATTTTGGAATGGGAATATGCATTCCATGCCATTATGTTGGAAGTATGTAATTTGTTTTTGATTTTCTAGAGACTTACAGTTAAAAGATTGCCTTAAGCCTCAAAAGAGACTTTGAACTCTTGAGCAGTACTGAGAATAAAAGACTACGGGGACTTTTAATGTTGAACTAAATGCATTCTGCATTATAAAATAACCATGAGCATATGGGGGCCAGGGAGCAGAATGTAGTTTAAATGAAAAATATTCCCCATATAAACAACCATTTGAATACTTTGTCCCCAGTTGATGGTAGTGTCCAGGAGGCCATGGAATCTGTAGGAGGTATAGCCTTGAGGGAAGAAGTGTGTCACTGGGGACGGCTTTTAGAGTTCACAGTCTTGCCCCACTTCTAGTTCTCTTCCTCTCCCTCTCTCACCTTCTTGTTTGCAGTGGAAGATGTGAGCTCTTGACTTCCTACTATGTATCATGCCTACTGCTTGTTACCATGCCTTCCCACCATGATGAACTCTAATCTCTCTGGAACTGTAAGTCCAAATAGCTCTTCCCTCTATAAATTGATTTAGTCATGGTGTTTTAACACAGCAACAGAAATATACCTGAGATTGATCCCCAACATTAGAAAAGAGGAAGAAAAAGAAAAGAAAGAAAATCTAAAAGCATATTCACAAGATCCAGAGATTCTGGTATGGACACGTTTTGGCAGGTATTCTGCTGACCACACCCAACAATATCACATTTAGAGTGATAGAAGCAACAATCTGAGCATCAGGAAAATATGACCAACACTTGGGAGGGGAAGAAAGAGCTGTTATTAGAAACCATCCACAGAGACAGAATTGATAAATTGGGATTAGCAAACTGGGATTTTAAATTAGCAATTTTAAATGCTCCCTGGTTTAAAAAAAA